ATAAATAATATATAAAACTTGCTCTGATTAGAATTCGAAATTCTTCACAAGAATTTTTGATCATTAGTATTACTATCCATAACAAAATTTAAAATTTCATTTTCATCTTTGATCTATATCGAGTCTTCGGTAGGATTTTTTAAATAGCATGAAAATATAACAGATATTCGGATACCATAGTAATAGGTAAAAGTAGGTTTATTTATTATCATTATGGCTTAACACACGCTTATATTATTATAGAATCTTACCAATTCCACTTCCAAACACAAATTTTCGTTAATTAGTTAACCATCTTCATGATACCAACGTTGATGGTCATACTGATCGATATCGCCCTTTAGTTGAGTAACAATACCTTTTATTCTTACCCAAGAAATGAATAAACTGTGTTTAATATCGATTACCAAGGTTTGAGTATATACTGAAAATCTAATACATATAAAAGAGAGTTCGCGGCTTTAAGTTAAAATTTTCAATGCAACTATTACCGTTTTTATTTCGCTTGTATAAATATTGATGTCTGACACCGGGCTTTGAAGTGTTATATAAGTTCTAGTTAGAAGTTATCAACTTAGTCTTCATGTTCTCTCTAACAACTCAATTGAATACAGGAATAAGCATAATCTTATCAAACTATAATTCCCGGATTGACAAGTGAATGGGTTGAATACTGAATAAAAAGCAACTGTGAATTACTGTTACTTAGTTTGTTTTTACACGAGTATATGTTCTAGGTGGTGTATATTAATCAGTGAATAATAAAAAAGCATAGATCTTATAGTTCCACAGGTTTTTTCATGATCATCTTTATTGATTCTAATTTTAAAAAAACGTGTTTAACATATTCTAAGTTTTTGTTTTGACTAAATGAAGGTTGAATATTGTTATAACTATAATAAAGAGTATGATTTTCGTATTCTAAAATTTCAACCACTGCTGCTTTGCAATGTGAAGAATTTCCACCATTTTTAAAAGTTTTGCGAAAATATAGAGAAGATTGATCGTGGTTTTTATATTCTACAGCAGCACATGAGAATGCTTTAATTCACCATCTCTGATGCTTTTGCATTAATTCTCATCTGTGATATACAAAAATATGCATGTATGGTGTCATATTACTTGGGAGATATAAACCATTGGTAGCATTATTTGGATCAGTTGAAGTACCTTGAGAAGGGGTTAAAAATAAGTTTAGCCAAGAAAGTGCGTCTTTTTTAAATTGAAGAGGATCTGTTTCTTGATTACGAAATGCTTGATATAAAATAACAAATTGATCCCACAATTGACGAATAAGCTTTGCACGGCTAGGGCGAAACAGAACACCAAGATTAAATAATTGTAAAACTTTCAACTTGTCTTGTCCCATAAGAGGAGTAAAGTCCCAATTATTTGACCCATGAATTTCCCAAAATTGAAATGATATAATAATTCTTTTCATTTCATCAACAATAATTTTTCGAGTTATGTCATTAAACAATCCATGTGATTTAATTTTTGCAATTACTAAAGTCCAAAGCTGATCATATATTCGAAGCAAAACATGGAGTTCATCACAAACCCAGTTTTCAAGTGGAATCATAGTAAATAAAGGAGCATTAATATGACCATTTGTATTTTTCCAATTTAATCTAAGTTGATCCATTGTTTTAGTAATTCTCCAATCTGCTTGTGTATCTTCATATTGATTTTTATTAACATTACACCAAGGACAAAAATAAGTAGAATTAGCAGTATTTAAACTGAGACATATTGCAAGAAACTTTAAATCTGCACTAAAATAAAACTCAAAATTCCAGCATGTAGTTCCTATTTGTAATCCATTTTCTTTTAAAAACCATAAATCTTTTAACAAAGTACTTAATATAAATTTTAATGTTTTGTATTTCTCGACTCCAGGATATAATACTAATGTATAGTGAAAATCTGATTCATGGTGATGATCAATATCATTTAAAATCAAAATTGTAACCATTACGTGCTTATTTTTGCAGCCAACATTTTGGCCATCTCCTGAAATTCTTAAATGAATAACAGGATCAGTATATGTTAAAATTTTGATTTGTTCTAAATATGGTATAATGTAATTGAGAAGATCTTTAATACTACGTTGTGCACCAATTCTAGCCATATTAGTTATTTCTTTAGGATCTACATTTTCTACTTCGGTAGAATCTATTTCAACTTCCAAAAATTCAAGATTTACTTGTGTAATTTTTATATTAGCTTCCATTTGTTTAGTTAATAATATACGTTCATTAAATATTGCATATTTACATGAAATTGTAGGATTAACTGCAGCTATATTTCGATAACCTTCTCGTGAAATCTTAGCTTTATCTAGGGCTTGAACAGTAGCTAATTGATTTTGTTTTGTTTTAACTAAATCTTCTTTTCCAAATTCTATATGGAAATTATAATTATTAACCAAATAATCTATTGCTTTAATATTAACATGATCCTTTTTTGAATAATTATCCAGTAATTTAGATTTTAAAAGTTCAAGAGCTTGACTTCCAAATTTTTTTGCACGTCTAAGAATTGTATGATTACTACAATGTTCAATAGATTTTAACTCTCTATTTTTTGCTTCACGTGCTTTATTTACTGATTCAAGTTGTAAACCAAATACTAAAGTTCCTGGCCATGCTGTTTTAGAATTTGGATTTATAGCCTATAAATATTATAAATATTAAATTTTATTTATAATAACAAATTCAATTAAATTAATATAATTTTATACCTTTTCCTATTTATTAGCAGCTGAACTTGAAGATGTAGAGCTTATTTTATATTCAAAATTTTCACTATAAGAAATACAAAAAACAGGACAATTATTTTCATAATTTATAGAACAATAAATTACTTTTGTTTTTTTATATCATTCTATAGTAGTTTTTACATCATATCGATCTGGAATTTTATATTGTTTTCCTTTAGATGTAGATGTATAAGCTGATAATAGAGCTTTTAAATATACTCCTTCTTTAATAATTTCATAACTAAAACTACGTTGAATAATATTTTTTCTTTTTTCTTTGTAAACTATAATAGGGCTTAATAGATATGAAGAGTTTTTTTCAATTTCAAGATTCATTGGTAAAGTATAAAAAATATTTGAACTAAAATATAGCGATGGGTTTATTTGAATTTAATAAGCTTGACGCGTTATTTAGATCACTTGCGTTATTATATTTTAAAATTAATCGTGATGATCAAAAATTAATTTATTATATTAATTGTTAAATACTTTTAATTCTGTGAATTATTTTATATATAATTTTTAAATTTATTTTTGATATATATATCAAGGAAAAACCAGAATCTTATGTTTTTATTATTTATTATTACCGGACTCATTCCTGAGATAATGGCTAACTTTTCTTGGTATTACTTAATTTACAAGTAGAAAATTTTAACTAAAACCTACACTTACTATAAATATGCATATAAGAAACTCCCTTCAATAGTTCCACTATGAATTAAACCAAGGCACAAACAACTTATTGATCAAATGCAGGTTTTTTTTTAAAATGCCTAGACTATACAAAGCATGTGTGCATTTTAAACTTTTCTATAATATTTGGCCTTGTATTACACTGGGTCTATTAAAGGATATAAAATTAAAGAACCTGGATCTTGTGCACGCATATTTATAGTAAGAACTTATAGACATATACCTGTTGAATTTTTTTTTTCTTTTTTTTTTACACATATCAATATAATAAGAAAAAATCATTTTTAAATTGTAATTGTTGCTGACCAATTAGATTTTTCAAAAGACACAAGTAATACCAAATTAAAGTTTCAACTGTAAATTCGTTGAATCAATCTTATTTAGGGAGCAAAAGGCAATTTTAATAGATACCGTCAGTATAGTCTTTGCCAGAACACTACTCTGGCTTCTTAGTGTTCTAGAATCAAGAGAAGAAAAGGTATTAGAAACAGTTTGCGACAATAGTTCTTTTGGATCTTGACGATGACCACCTTGTAAAAGGGTATAAACTAATTTCGTTAACAACTATTTCACTGACAGTTATATCACCAAAATTAACCTGGTTAAGAACAGGGTTGCCTAATTTATAATTAGTGTTGGCTAGAGGTAGAATTTTGGTGAAATAGCTATCAGCAAATTTTACCAGAATCTTGTAAAAATGCCACATTAATTTCTTTAATAATTAACTTAGATTGGAGGGTAAAAGCCTTTGACTTCTTTAAATACTAGTTAATCAACTTGAATCAAAAAAGAAAAAGATATTCTCAAGGACATCACACTTGCTTTTTTATGATAATAATTATCTCGGCCAGAGAATAGAAAAGCATTAGTGAAGTCATTTTGCAAGAGGGAGAAAAGGCGATATTAGTAGTAGTAATTATCCTAGATCAGAAGACAGAAAAGTATTATTCTGAATAATATTGAAGCAAAAATCAAAGTTTATTATCATTTGTCGAAATAAATCATTTATGTCAGAGCTAGTAAGGATCATTCCGGTTCAGTCATCCCAGTCTCTAATAAGACAGGTCTATTACCATTTTTCAGTTTATTCTCGGTCCCCAAAGCAGTCCTTAATCATTTAAACTTTAACCATCTTATTGCTAGCTGAGAAAAATTAAGGTACGTTATGCCTGTAATTGAAAATAAGCGATTATTCAAAATACTCTTTTAATTAGATATTAACTATTTATGAATACTTGTCTAGACTGGTGAACTGAAAACCATAAGACCAGTAAAAGACCAGTCCTTATTCAGTCTTTCAGGACTGATCCATCTCTATGTTAGAGCTAGTGATTCTAAAGAGTCATTTGGGTCAGGTTTGGGGTTGAATTCACATTTGTTCGAACAAACTTGGGTTTGAAAATCTCTACTCATGTATTATTAAAATTATCTGGGTTTTTTGATCCCTTTCAGAGCACTAGTCAGAGCTAGTCCGCGAAGATTATATAAGCTTGATAGATATTTATATATCTATATGTAGTTCATTTTATTTATTAATTAAATGAATTTTATTACTTGTATAGTGCATAATATTTATATTCATGCTAATATATTAATATACAATGTTACTTATAAAAATTAAAATTTTATATAGTGATTATTTTTTGATTAAATGGTCACATATTAATAAATAAATATAAATAAAATTGATAAGTGTAATAAAAATTTTGATTCAGAATTTATAAATTACTTATTTCAAAACTATATGTTACTAATTAATTCTGACCCAATTCTTATTTACCAAATAAATGAATCGAAAAGCATCAGTATGACTGGCTATGTAGTTGGATCAATGCTGGCTAGCCAAAGGTGCCAGAAATAAATTCAGTTAAAGGACATGAAGTCCGCAGAATACATTATGAGTAATTTTAGCTAAGTAATTTTAGCTAAGTAAATCGAACTGAAACGATGATATGCTCCCAGAAAATTAGCAAGTGAGATTGCGCCAGGTATCATCGTAACAGTAGAATGAGCGAGAAGTAGAACGAGCGAGAAGCAGCATCAGCCGGTGGTTTCCCGCCTGCTCGAAGCAGGCCGGCTGTTAAATAGGAAAATGGCAGAATCAGGAGACTACAATGTGCGGAGGGAGAGGTGGGTCGAGAAATTTGTTAGCCGAAGACTATTGTGTCGAAGTGGGAAAGAGTGTCAAAACGAATTTCTTTATCGACTGTTTATATATCGATCGTGGTCAGTGGCTTGTTTAATTACGTATTCCTTGATTCATGCAATTTAATTAATTGATTACTAATTGATTTGTTCTTTAATCCTGATCCCTGCCATTTGCCCCATGATTTGAGGGCACGGATTATAGCACGTGGCATGTAACCCCTGGCTAGTTCTACCCTTTCTTTTCAATCCGTTGACCCTTGTCAACATGCATGATTAGATGCTATATACCGGTAGTGTAAATTTTCATAAATCTGAATAGCTTATCTGTTATTAAATGTGTTTCAAATAATGAATATTCATCTACATAGAAGTTCTCTTAGATTAACACGTATTTGATTAAGATAGCTATAAAATATAAATAAAATAATTAGAGATGTATAATGAATGCTTCAACTAATAAATGCTTATCTACTAAATAAACTCGAATAAAATAAACTTAATACTATACAATGATGAACCTGAATAGTTTGTTCTATGCATTTTGAATTCAATAAATATAAATTAAATTTTCTAATAATAAATATGAATAATTAATTAGAGAACTGGTATACAATAAAGTACTTCGATCAATAAATATTTAACTATTTATAATTCAACATAGTAAGACGCTATTTAAAAAATCATACTTATCTTTGAAATGCATCACTTATTTGTTAATTTTGAAACCCCCAAATAATACTTCGAGTAATAAATTTCTATCTTCTATACTTAATAATAAAATTAATATGATTTGAGAAGCTTATTTTAAGTTTATATTTTGAATTAGTATTTGTCTACTTGATTAACGTAATTAAACAAATTAACAATATAATAAATATTTTATATACTTACTTATTACTATGTTTAATTAATTTCTATTACTTCCTGAAAAGTGAGAAATGGGTTTGGAGTGGGAGAAATGGGTTAACATAAGTTTTATTGTTTTTTTTAGATAGGGAAATAAATTTGACACGAAATTTTTTAATTCATATCTAATCAACATGTGATATTTTGCAGATCAGTAGATATTTTGGGACTAGTTATTTCATCAATTAGCTGATATGATATATTTACTATATAGATAATATATACATTTAAACATATTAACTAAAAATATATCTTTAATATCCAAACTTCACAAATTCCTTTTATCTTTTTTGCTGGCCCACTTCAGATATACTTCAAACCTTTGCAAACCATAACTACAATTCAACTCATCTTGTATTTTATATTGATAAATCAGTAGTAAACCCCCAAACAACTCAATGCACTATGGGCATTGGTTGGCTACAAACAGACAACAACCAAATCATATACACTTTTCAAGCTCAAATCTTACTCTGGCCATGCTCCTTCAAGGCTGAGCTCCTTGCAATTCTGTCTGCTATTTGCACTGCCCCAAGAAACTGCAATATTGAAA